GCTGCTGGAGGCCGGGCCCGGGGGCGGGGGCGGGGCCGCGCCCGTGTTTACCTCAGGGCCAAGGCACGTTGGAATGCGCGGGGGGCCGGGCGGCAGGCCGGAGCGGAGCGAGAAGCTGGCGCTGTACCTGGCCGAGGTGGAGAAGCAGGACAAGTACCTGCGGCAGAAGGGCCGGTTCCGCTTCCACATCATCCCCGACGGGAACTGCCTGTACCGCGCCGTCTGCAAGGCGGTGTACGGGGACCAGCGGCTGCACAGCGAGCTCCGCGAGCAGACCGTGCACTACATTGCCGACCACCTGGACCACTTCAACCCCATCATCGAGGGCGACGTGGGAGAGTTCCTCATCGCCGCCGCCCAGGACGGAGCCTGGGCCGGCTACCCGGAGCTGCTGGCCATGGGGCAGATGCTGAATGTCAACATCCACCTCACCACGGGCGGCCGGCCCGAGAGCCCCACCGTTTCCACCATGGTTCACTACCTGGGGCCCGAGGACCCGACGCGGCCCAGTATCTGGCTGAGCTGGCTTAGCAACGGGCACTACGATGCTGTGCTGGAGCGCGTGTGCCCCAACCCGGAGTACGAGGCGTGGTGCAGACAGACTCAGGTACAGCGCAGGCGGGACGAGGAGCTGGCCAAGTCCATGGCAGTGTCCTTGTCCAAGATGTACATTGAGCAGAACGCCTGCTCTTGAGACCACCCGGGCCGCAGGCTGGGAGCTTTGCTGCAGGGACGGGGACGGACAGAAGGTGTGCTGGCTGTGATGGTGATGCCTTAATCCTTAATGAAGCAGCAGCACCCCAGACTGAGAAGGACTGTCGGTTATGAGGAATAAACACAAATGTGTTTGTAATAGTCTGTTGTAAAAACTTTGACTCGGATTATTTGCAAGCAGATTCTCCGTCTATGTTTATGTCTCCCCTTCCTGCTGTCTCCCTATTTTCTATGAGAATGTATTTTTTGCACAATATTTTTAAACTGTTACCTCCATCTTCTACATCTTACATTAGTATCTGGCTTTCAGCTGTACAGCCAAAAACGTTTGTAAACAGTTTTTGTAAATAAGGCTTATGATGTAACAGCTATTTTTTGCTGTGTTTTTTACCCATAAACCTTATATTTTTACCAGAAGAAGTTGATGTCAAACTGACCCTCCCTAATTGATGAAAGCATTGTGGGTGTTTTCTTGCAAAACTAAAACAATGGTTTTTGTAAAAGTGCAGCAAAGTATGAACAGACTGCTTTTCAGAACATTTGCTTTCTCTGCCTGGAGCACAGAACAGGTCCTTTGAGCCAGTTGGAATGCAGCTACACATGAACAGTACAGGGAGCAATTGACTCTTCTGTATTTAATTACTGTTTTGAGTAAACTGGCCTCTTGATGCCTGGTTGGCTCGCCCTGTGCTCCATTTATATTATTTATCCGTAATAACAGAACATTAACTTGCAATAGAATGTTGTGACTAGATAATAGTCTCCCGCTTTGGCAATAATTGCCTTGGCTGCACCTTGGTGTTTGTGTTCTTGTTTCTGGGGTTATGGTGTCTTTTGTATAAGCCCTGCTTCTCTTTTGGCACTGGTGTTGCACCAACAAATCATGTTCTGATCACAACATTTTATTCACTTGATGTTATTTTCTAATCGAGAAATCTGGAATGGTATTCTGCATTACGGTTTAAAAGAAAAGTATTTAAACTGAGGTTTGTATGGTTTGCTGGGTCAAACATTTAAATGTTTCCAAGCTGAATTCTGTCTCTTCTACTTTCTGATTAACTTGTTAGATATATTTATTAAGTAATGCAGTTTGTACTTTTTTATTTTGTAATATATTGTGATTTTGGAATTTATACTGTATTTGTATAATAGGAATATTCACAGCTAAAATGGAATGAATAAAGAATATAATTTTACTTGGGCTCTTTTTTTTCCAACCTTTGCATTCCTGGAGTGCTGAAGAAATGTAAGTGGATTCCCAGAAGGCCCTTTAATTTTCTTCCTCTGCCTTACTTTCCCCAATTAAGAGGTGGGGAGAAGGGGCAGGGTACTTCACAAACACAAACCACTGATAATTCTGGTGTCTGTGAATATGTGTGAGAAATAAATTTAAAGACAGCTTAGTATCTAAATCTTTAGTAAGAAAGCAATTTTAGCATGTATTTGCCAATGAGAAGCATTTTTCTGTATTAATATGCCTTGCAAGAGGAGTTCTCAAGCATAGTATCTGGGCTGGTAATAGTGTTGTGTTGAACCAGCTCTCTACTAGGCCACGCACTCCTGGGCTTGGACTTCAGTAACGAGGAATCTCCATTCTGCAGACAGTAACAAACTTGTTTTAGATTTGCCTTGTCACCAGTGATACCTCAGCAACCCCTTTCTTGTTGCCTGAATAGAGGTAATGTCATAAGGAAATACAGCTTTTTGCACCCCTTACAAGATAGAAATGCCTTGCAAGTTGTTAAGTGGTACTCTGTGTGTGTGTGTGTGTCTGTGTGCGCGTGCATGCATTTACAAATCTACCCCTGGTCTCAAAATACCAGCAATCTATCCTTAAATGACAGGAGGGTTAAGATTAAAAACTAACTGAAATGCAGCAATTTTAATTGAGTACACTTGTGATAAAGAGCTGCAGGATTGATTGTATATTTAGTAAGGGTTTATGTGGTGCGAAGAGTAGATATAAATGAATTTATTGTTCTCTCCAAAATATTGGTAAATGCAGACTATGTTTTCCCCCCCATTTTCTTAACTAACAATTATGCTTTTTCTTTAAACATAAAATAATGGTGGAAAAAGCCAGTCTTGCTAGTAGTCCGCTATTGCTTAACTGTCCTGAATCTCTGGAAAGCTGAGTTCTGAGGTGAGAGCAAGGCAAAGATGCAGATATGGATGTGTTCGTAAGGGACAGAATTAGTTGATGATGAAAATGGCTACTCAGGTGGCTGTAAGACCAAAAATGTTAATGCTGCATCACTAAATATCAGTGATGTGCTTGCCTGATTAAAAACTTTGTATCCAGACTGCTTAGCTTTTGGGTTGGACATAATGAATTCATTCAAGGATGTCAATATCCCAAACTTCTTTAAAAAACCATTTATTTTAGGTCTTTTAACATTACCATTTTCAGCTATTTAATGAATTGTGATTACACATTTTGTTTGTGTTTTGTGGCACAAACCTTAGAAACATCCATAGACTAACCTAAGTCAAGAAGGATTGATACTGCAGTGTTCACTCTGTGAGATATAGTTTATATTAAAGTATCAACGAAAAAGTGTTAGAAATGAACACGCAGAACCCTAGGATAAGTTCCCACAGGGTTCCTTAACAAGTTTGATGCTGCTGTGTGAGTCACAGGGACACACAGATAACTTTAAGGAATTTGAAAAAACTAGGTTACTTGTTGAACTAGTTTCCAAAGACATTGAGGATGTATTGCTGAAACGTAACAAGGCACTTGTTTTTGCAGCTTGCATTACAAACTGTGTCTATTCTAAAAAGAAATTACAAAAATGGCATGTCAGATGTTCCAGGCACATGGAAGGTGAAAACTGTTTTTTATCGCTCTAGTGTTTAAAATTCAGCTGAGACATTGAGTTCAGATGCAAGCTGGTGCTGTTTTCCCTGAGCAGTAGGGGCAGTTTTATGGAGTAGTTTTACAGAGGCAGTGATCCCACTGCGGACAAAGCCTTACAAAACTGCTTGTAACATTGTCACTTGCTGCCAGCAAAAGCGCAAGTAGATGCAAGTTTTCCCTTACTGTCTCCTTTCAACAGTTCCAGTAACAATGGAAGGACAAATGTCCTTGCTCATAATTTCAGTACCCGATTATTTTAACCTTGGTTAATCACTTGCATAACCCAGCTAATCCTTAGACTTGTCTGGGGATGTTGGTCAACAGACTATTATTGACAATAAGTGAGAAGGAGAGCTTAATTTTCAGTATTCAGTTATATGGTCCTGTAAGTCAGGTAATAAATGTTTTAATTCTCAACTGAGCAAATGTGAGCTGGAGTCTGTGGGAGCATAAACTTTGTGATGCCATCTTTGCTTGTATTTTATAATATAGTTGTGAATTAGATGACATGTTGAATGCTTCATTTTAGGATTCTCTTAGGTCACCAAGACTATGGCATTCTCTCACTTAACGTGCAATGGGTATGGTAGAGTTTTCATGTGTATTGAGCAGACTCTGTTACACAAAGCAAGGTTTGCAAGAACTGAATTGGTTTGTACTGTGTACAATTGTACAATGAATGCATCCCAAAATAAGGGTGGGCAAGTAGGAAAGCGGATATTTGTATAAGCATCATTGTTCTTCATCTCAGTCAGTGGTTTTCTTTTTGGAAAGTTCAGTGGATGGTTCTGTGTTTAGTAACTTAGGATGCGTAAAAGTTGCCTAATGCCGGCTACTGGGTTTATCTGTCCTGTTGGACATGGCTGATACATTACACATGTACAAGATAAATCTGTTACATTAATGTCACTTGTAAATAAAAGTGTATTTCAGTACTCCTTGTGCATGTACTAAACCACGTGGATCTAAATATTTCTTCTGTCTGCTTTTGCTTTTATTATGTCAGAATCAACTGATAGGGTTTTTGAGGATAAAATTCAGTTTTGGTTTAGTGGTTTGTCACTGCACACATACATGGCTTCTGAATCCAAGTGGAAAATGATGACTGGTATCTCACAACAGGGACAAGTACCTAGCATTAACATTTTTTTTCTTATTTTTTGCTTACACTCTTTCATACATATTTAACAGTTTGCTGATATACATTGATAAGTGTTCCTAGGATGTTGATAAAAAATGGGGAAAAATGAAAAAACCCTCAGCTTTGGTGTTAAAAAGATTGTCCAATTTCTGAATGGCATGATTATATGAAAGTATGCAACATGCAGAAAAGTTGTGAATAGCTGTTTGAAAGGACATCAGCTCTGCCAAGTACAATTCTATAGTTATCAAGGGTTTTTTTAAAGCAGCAGAAAAAAACCCCTTTGAACTTCTTAGTAATATACAGGCTGATTTATAACATGTACAAGTGCATTTTAATTGAAAAAAAAAAGTGGCTTTCATACTCCCTGTTCAGTTTTAATTTATAATCTGTGTTTTTTTAAAAGCAGGTTTATAGTATTAATAGATAGCAGGATAGAGCAATGCAGTAGTATATTGTAGACATTTTTTTCCTGGAGTTAGTACTTAAAATCTTTTTTATACAAGAAAACCCATTCACGGTATTCAGACTGGAACTTGATAGAAATAGAACACTGGCAAATTCCAGGTTTCCATGAGTGGTGGTTATTCCATCTCCCCATACATTCGTCCTAATTACTGATTACAATCAGGCTTCTCTGGAGAAAATGTGAGCGTGTAATTGTAGTAGCATGATGCATGTACACACATAGAACCAATCTTTCCTGTGTGATATTAAATTTGGCATTTCCTGCCTTTTTAGTGTGTATTTTTAAGCCATTATGCTTTTAATGGATATTGTATTTCCCGCATTTTTTACTGGAAGTTGTAGGAAATAAACTGTTGTGTCCTTCCTATAAGGCATGTTAATAGCGTTTGAACCTTCAGCACTGTAGCACAGTTAAGCTGTGTAAAGAGTGGCATCTGCAGTGAAGAAGACTACTGTAGGAGGGGAGGATAGCTGGGGCAAAAGCTGGAGTCAGGAGATGGTTGTGAAGGAGCCAAGGTCATCTTCTATCCTTTCATCTCCCACGTTCACCTGCATCCCAAGCACGGGGAGATCCCGACTCACTGTAATGGGCAGTGGGCCTGTACCACTGGTCTGGTGACACAGCGTGCATCAGGCTCACTGCTGTCGCTCATTGGTGTTTCACTACATCATCCTTACCCTGCCAAGCTTTTGGGGGCTACAAGTGAAAGAAGGGATGCAACACTCTGTCTCAGAAAAAAATGAACTGAATTTCACAGACAAAGATGCAGTATTTTTCTTGCCTGTGAACTTTTGTTGCTAAATGTCAATGAGTTAAAGCGTGGTAGAATATCAAAACGGTTTTCAAGGACCAAGTTTATAAAATCATGTAAAGCACATTATCAGCTTTTTGAGGCTCCAGTAATGCTTGAAATACCTTTTTTTTTTTTTTTTTTTTTTTTTTTTTTAAAAAGAGTACTCTATAGTTTCATTATCTGGACCATATTATTTTCACAGGTACAAGGATCCAGCATTTTTCCCTTACTTGTATTTTTGGCTGAGTGTAAAACTTCATTTTTCAGCTATTCAACTAACCATTTCTGGGCAAGAAAACCCATAGTTTCAGATCTCTGAGTGAGATTTGGAATTTAGTGAGCTCTGTCAATTTAACTTAATATGGCTAAGAGCAATACTTCTTCCCATCACTGATGCTGTACTCATGGCTGCTTTTAGAAATAACATGATCTTTGGAACTCCAGCTGGCTTCTTTTGATATTTTTTTAGAGAGAGCTTGTGGTCAAAATATACTCCCTTTATAAATAAACAATACAGCACATTTTATATCTAAATTGCCTGTCTTCCATATGACTTAAAGACTGAGCTTTGACTAAGCAATTAAACGATTAACTAACATGTTTGTATGGCTTGTTTGCTTTCCTACCAAACTTTAGCTTCACTGGATTAGGTTACTCACAGGGACTGGCTTTGCCTTTTGTGGGATGACCAAATTATTGTCTCATTAATTACTGACACAATTTCTATTATTCCTGCAAACCTTATCTGCAATCTTTTAATTTCTGTTCATTTTAATTTTTGTTGACTGTCAATTAATTGCACACTCAAGTTTAACCTTGGAAACTAGTTATGCTGTAAACCAAAACCTAATTAAGTAAGACATATGAATGAGTTTGGGAGTTGACAGCTGTTTTGCTGCTTATGTGTAATTGAAGGAAAGGTGGTGCCCAAAA